ATGTGAGCATACATTCAAAACAGACACACAATACACACATATACAATTACTATATGATAGATGCATGCATACATACGTTCATATGTACATAGACAAATAGATACATAGATATACAAATAAATTCATGCATAGATACATACATGCATACATATATACGTAAATAGATTTACATGTAGATGAATAGATAAATAGATACATACATATATACATATATACATTTATAATATTCAGTTATGAAACTTTCACCAACTGCGAGCATTTCTCTAATCATTGTTGCAATGTTCCTCTTGTGAATGTTGCATTGTTTTTCTTTTCTTTGTTGCAGTGTTAATTTTAAGCCTTTAGTCTCGCCAAAAGTGAGAGAGAGAGAGAGAGAGAGAGAGAGAGAGAGAGAGAGAGAGAGAGAGAGAGAGAGAGAGAGAGAGAGAGAGAGAGAGAGAGAAAGAGAAAGGAAGGGGGGGAGGGAGGGAGAGAAAAAGAGAGAGTGAGAGAGAGAGAGAGAGAGAGAGAGAGAGAGAGAGAGAGAGAGAGAGAGAGAGAGAGAAAGGAAGGGGGAGAGGAAGGGAGAGAGAAGAGAGAGAAGAGAGAGAGAGAGAGAGAGAGAGAGAGAGAGAGAGAGAGAGAGAGAGAGAGAGAGAGAGAGAGAGAGAGAAGAAGAGAGACATCAGGCTATTTAGGCGACGAAAAGGACGGGGAGACAGACTTCGGAAACAAGAGAAGGCGAGAGATAGAGAGAGAAAAATATACAGCGCCAAAGACGAAGAAGAGGGGGCGGATATCAGACCGGAAATATGAATTGATTCGCCGAGCGCTAGGGAGAGGGAGTGAGTGGGAGAGAGGGAGAGGGAGTGAGTGAGTGGGAGAGAGGGAGAGGGAGTGAGTGAGTGGGAGAGAGGGAGAGGGAGTGAGTGAGTGGGAGAGGGAGTGAGTGGGAGAGAGGGAGAGGGAGTGAGTGAGTGGGAGTGAATGGGAGAGAGGGAGAGGGAGTGAGTGGGAGAGAGGGAGAGGGAGTGAGTGAGTGGGAGAGAGGGAGAGGGAGAGGGAGTGAGTGGGAGAGAGGGAGAGGGAGAGGGAGTGAGTGAGTGGGAGAGAGGGAGAGGGAGTGAGTGAGTGGGAGAGAGGGAGAGGGAGTGAGTGGGAGAGAGGGAGAGGGAGTGAGTGGGAGAGAGGGAGAGGGAGAGGGAGTGAGTGAGTGGGAGAGAGGGAGAGGGAGGGAGGAACAGGGAGAGAAGGAGAAGGAGAGGGAGAGGGAGGGAGAAGGAGAGACAGACAGACAGACAGGCTGTAAAAGAAAGAGTAAGAAAGAAAAGACAGAAATAGAGAGGAGGAAACGGGGAATGAGGGGGGAGGGAGGGAAGGAGAAAGAGAAAGAAAAAAGAGAAAGAGGAAGAGAGAGAGAGAGAAAAAGGATCCAGATATATGGTCCCCCGGATGAAGTTCGCTCGGCTCCGCGCGACCTTACAGCACGACTTTTCCTCTGTGCCATATTTTCCCCATATTTTTTATTCTCTCTCTCTCTCTCTCTCTCTCTCTCTCTCTCTCTCTCTCTCTCTCTCTCTCTCTCTCTCTCTCTCTCTCTCCTTCTTTTATTTTCCTCTTTTATTTTCCTTCCACGCGTGTGATTTAGCGGCCATAAAGGCGATGATCCTCTGTCTTCTGGCCCGTTTTCTTTTGGCTATTAAAGAGGCACGTGCCGGGAATAGGAGATAGGGAAGAAAAAAACGAAGGAAGGAAGAGGGAAATGAAGGAAAAACGAATGGAAAGAGGAGATAGGGAACGACAAAAAAAGGAAGGAAGGAGGGGGGGAGGGATGAAGGACAAAAAGAAAGGAAAGTGGAGATAGGGAACGAAAAAACAGGAAGGAAGGAGGGGGGGGGGGATGAAGGACAAAAAGAAAGGAAGGAGGGGGAAGATAAAGAAAGAAAGAAAGGAGGAGATAAGGAAGGAAGAAGGGGGAAATGAAGAAAGCGTAAGGAATAAGGGGGATGAAGGAAGGATAAGGATAAGGGAAATAAAATTCAGAATGAGATAGGAAATAGAGGGATATAAGAAGAAGGGAGGAAGAGAGAGAGAGAGAGAGAGAGAGAGAGAGAGAGAGAGAGAGAGAGAGAGAGAGAGAGAGGAAAAGATAATAAAAAAAGAAGAGAAAGAAATAAAAAGAAGGGTGAAAAAATGGGGGGGGATAAGAAAGATAAGAAATGGTGCCTATAGATATAATTGTGAATTAACAAGAATGGGTCATTTGCATACCGACTTACAAAAGTCAGAACATTGTAGAATTGCAAATAGAATCCATCAGTTCTGACAGTATGAAAAATAATAATAACGTAAAAGGGATGGAGAAAGAGAGAAAGATAAAGAAAATAAACATAAATGACCCCCCCCCCTGAAAAAAAAAAAATAATAATAATTAATAATTGATATTTTAACGAAAGAAAAAAATGATACATGATCCGATGACAAAAAAAAAAAAAAAAAAAAAAAAAAAAAAAAAAAAAAAAAAAAAAAATACAGGTGACGAAAACAGTTTATTTTTCTGTGTGTATGTTATTTTTTCCTCTTTAATTTTTAGCTTATTATAGAAAGATAAGACCGAGTTACAACACTAGCATTGTCTTCGTCTCTCGCGCTGGCGGTCGTTATCGCAAACTTTATCTCTTGGATTAATTTTTTTCCTTGTGTTTCGCTTTTGTTCACAGAAATGCTCTAGGTTGTTGTGAAACAGGATATGGTATTAGTCTTTAAAAATATAGTGAGAGATGGAGAGTGGTGGCGATGGTTTGAGAGAGGGAGAGGGAGAGAGAGAGAGAGAGAGAGAGAGAGAGAGAGAGAGAGAGAGAGAGAGAGAGAGAGAGAGAGAGAGAGAGAGAGAGAGAGGGAGAGAGAGAGGGGGGAGAGAGAGAGAGGGGAGAGT